TTAGGCGTAGTTCCGGCTAGCTTTTCTGAATCTCCGAAATCGAGGTTCTTTCCGGGCCAACAACCGAGCTGAGTATGCTAAACTAGTGAGAGAATCGCTGGCAACTACAACAAAATTATCATATTTTACCGTGATTTAATTAATTAATCTGCAGACACACGGCAGGCGAAAAACCTTTTAAAATGCGTGTTGTCTAAATGGAGATCGACTAAGCTAACGTTGTATATGTTCCGACCGTCCACACTCACAACAACGGCCTATACAGACATAAATAAACCAGCGACTGTATTCGCCATGACACAGACAGTCTGTGGTTTGTCTAGTTTCTGAACAGATATGAGGAGCTGTGAGCTCCTCATATCTGTTCAGAAAGAGAGAGTGCTAACAGCTAACGGCTGATGTTAGTTTTGTGTTTCGCATTGAAGATGACATCACGGCTCCGCTGACACTGCGTTACTATAGTTACCACCCCAGTTCCTAAACTGTAATGGAAACGCAGCATAAAGTGAGCCTGGCCTACCAAGGCCTAACTATACCGTACTAAGCTGTGCGAGGCCCTGCCGTGGAAATGCGCCATAAATGTCTCACCTGAGCCGGTTTCACAGCCTGGGTCAGTGGGGGACTTCTGTACCACAGATCGAGTTCCAAAGAAGCTCCACCTCTCTCCTCCTCCTCCTCCTCCTCCTCCCTCATTTCCTCCCATGTTTGTGGTGGGGTTGGGACTGGTGAGCTCTGGTGGGGCAAGAAAAGGTGCAGGACTCAGCTGGAACCAGTTCCTGTATTTAGGGCAAGCAAAAGAAAAAAAGTAACATATCATCATTTGAGCCATGTTGAAAAATGACATAATAACAACACGAGCAAAAAAAATATCTCAGTAGCTTGATGCTTACCTGCGACTAACAGCCGGTGATGTGTGGGGAGTTACACAGGGGGTGACGCTGGGGGTGACGGAGGGGTGGCACAAGGGCTGACACAAGGGGTGACACAAGGGGTGACACTGGGGGTGGATTGTGCTGATGTTGTACACCTGTCCTCCTTGAAGTCCCCGGTTGGCATTCTCAACTTCTGCAAAGAGAGAAAATTAAGCAAGAAAGAAACAAAGTCAAAGACTTATCTTCTATGTTCTAGATTCCACGCAGTACCATTTCAAACAGTATTGCACAATCTTTTGATATCAATAATGGCAAGTGTCTGGATGATCCAATTTTGAGGTATGCACTCTGTACCAAGAAGGCAGGCTGTGTCACACCTAACAGCAAATGTTTGCAATAAGAGCATCTGATCTTTTATTTTTTAAAGAGCAAACTCTCCTGAAGACCACGAATCGACGCAGAAGGTCAGCGAGTGTTTTTTTTTGGACGCTGCAGACCAAGAAAGTGCGTCACACACACATTGTTCGGGAGCCAAAACCTGCTGTGCAAATGTGTCATGGGCTAGAAAAGAGAGAAAGGTAAGACACCAAAGAGAGGACTGCTCGTATAATAAACACCAAGAAAAAGTGCGATGAACTACTTTTATTAATAGCTCTAAATACCAATACCATGCGTTTCCATAGAGAGCCGCGCCTCCCGAGCCCACGCCTCACGCCCGCTCTCACCTACTTCCTGCAAGATCATTACAGCAATGGAACTCCCTACAACTACACAACTCACTACTACAAACTCATCAAAACACCTTTCGCTCTCCACCCGGCCAACATCGCATACCTCAATGCATGGATTCGCAACCTAAGAACATCATACACATTCGCGCGCTGTTTGGTAGCTTACAAATTATCGTTATCAACTTCGACTCTTATGGCACCTACGTTCTAATTCTATGTTTATTGTATTTACTTGGCAGCTCATTTTCATCCTGCTTGTCATTCCGCTCGCCTGTGCACTACTTGGAGGAAGCTCTGGGACCCTAAAACGATTTTCTCGACAATACACCTACACTGTAGCTATGTACAAATGAGCACTACCAAAGCCCAACAGAATAATACGTCTTTACAACCCTTAAGCTTCGGCCCTACATGTACTGCTTGCCACACATACTTGCCCTTTATCTTTAAGATTTATTCTGTAATTCTTTCTGTTAGAGTATTGAAGTATACACGTTTCCATTCAATGTGGGGCATCTTTTTCCCCATCCTATCTTGAGGGTCCTTTCATAACACGTATATATCAAACCGTATCGTCTCTAGTAGAACTCGTCGGTCCTGCATCTCTCGCATACGGGAAAGCCGGCCTCACTCTTGCAAAGGGAAAGAGTGCCCCTTGCTTCTTAAATGCCCCTGTAATAATTACTTTGGGTTTTGTAATCCTTGGATTTCATCACTGCTCCCACCCTGCTGGACCTCGAGCCAAGAATATCAGGACACAACAACACTTTTGACAGTTCCACTGTTGTTTGTGTGGATTTAAGTAGGTTGGGGCAGGGCGAAAAGAAAAACATTAAAGCATGCGTTT